GAGGAATTTGGATTTTATTCTGACTGTTCTAGAAGTTGTGAGAGGGATTTAGAAAGACAAATACATGATTTTTTAAAAATGTCTTATTTTGAAATAATCATAATAGATTCACAAGAAGTTGCAAACAGTGCAGGTACCTTTAACTTAGTTTGCCCCCTGGTAACGTCTGACATGATCTTTATATCAAACCCAGGAACTAGGCATTAGTTCAATCTTCAGACCTTTCTCAGAGTTACCATTTTACATGTACCTGTGTGTGTGTGTGTGTGTAGTTCTGTGCAATTTTATCACATGTGTATACTCATGTAACTATCCCACAATCAAGGTACAGAACATTTTTCTGGCAGGAGGTCAAAAGGTGATGGTTAGCCTCCAAATGGCGATGGTGCAAGTCATATTAAGAGAACTCTGATGTGGAGCAATATGTGCCTACAGAAATGAGGGTTATTTGGAAAAATAATCCTTGGGGGCTATGATCTTGGTCTTAGCATTTGACCTGAGAACCAAGAATTTCTATCCTGTCATTAAGGATTTTGGTCAGGGCAATATAGTGATCATCCTGATGAGTTGGGAGTTGTTTCTTTTCTTTTCTTTTTTTTTACGTTTATTTATTTATTTTTGAGAGGGAGAGCAAGCATGAGCAGGGGAAAGGCAGTGAGAGAGAGAATCCCAAGCAGGCTCCATGTTGTCAGTGCAGAGCCTGATACAGCATGACTTGAGCCAAAATCGAGTTGGATGCTTAACTGACTGAGCCACCCAGGCGGCCCTGGAGTTAGTTTTTAAAGGGAAGGCCAGGAGAACAATCAAAGTTTAGATCTGGAAATGTGTCCAGCCAAATAGATTAATAGGGTGTGGGTAGTACAATGGCCAGTTTCTTTAAGATCATCTGGATAGGCTTCAACATGGCCGGGCAGTTGAAAAGGAAACTTATGGCATGTCCAGCTATACAGAATTTTGCCAGTGTAACGGGAACAAAATTATGGTGCTAGTCGTTGGCTATGGCAGTGGTGTTTAAGAGGCCATTTAACTATGGGCGTCAGTGTGCCAAAATATAGCTAGACAGTTCTTGCATTGCCAGGTGGGGTCTGCTCATGGCCTGCAGTGTTCCAGCCACATGCTTACCTACCCAAAGTAGGTATGGCCAAGCTATGAGAGGCCAGAAGGCTGGACAATAGTATTTGTTCTGTGTGAGTGCTACAATCAAAGGCACTGAGGGCACTGACCACATGGGCTTAGTGTGGACTAGGTGAGATTCCCATTTCAAGGCTGTGTGATTAGAGGGAACCTGCATTCCTTAGTGGAAGATTTTATCAGGTAAGTCCAGTTCTAGTCTTCCTTGGCCACTCTGCTATTCACACTGTTGTGGGTGTGAATCCTGGAGTCATGATCTCTACTTTTGAGTGAGATTATCACAGGCATTAGAAATTAAGTATCCTTTATAGACAGGAATATTTGGCAAAGATTGTGGTGTAGGCGAAGCAAATCAACATTCATCAAGGTACCAAATGACTCTGACGGATAGCCCAAGGGGTGTTTGATGGTGAGATGATCATATTCACAATAACTTGAGGCTTGACCTGGCCTCCATCCCAATTAGGATTGGAGCCAGACAGACAAAGACAGATGAAAGAGGAGGAACAAGAAATGCCTAAGGACTCACTAGGTTTGCCTTGAGACTGATTGAAACTGACAACATTAGAAGTTGCCTTATAATTACATCAGGAAGAGAGTGGCTCTTAGGCATACTAGATGAACCTAGGACTTTCACTCAGCTGGCATGACCCTGACCTTTATGGGGGAGGGCAACAGCCCATCTGCTCTCCATAAGTGCAGGAACGATTATTTGCATGTCCTGTGTGTCTAGTGTGTTCCCTCACAGGAGGAGATCATCAAGTAGTGCTAAATATGGGTGCCTGGGGACAGCTCAAAACAATTAGGGTTTTGCCGCTGGAGGGGTATGTGATGGTTGAACTTCTGAGATATCCCATGGGCAACTGAGTAAAGATGTACTGTGTTCCTTTGAAAGTGATTAACTTTGAATTCACCTTTCATGTGAAAGGTGAATGTGATTGAAAAGTTGTTGAAATAGGCACTGGATAGGATATATAAAACAGCAAAACATTTGCCAGTGGATGACTAAATGGTTTCATTCATTTCAATTATATGAGTATAGGGGCTAGTTACCTACCATGAGCTGCCATTCCTCTGAGCATTTTTTTTTTTTAAGTAGGCCTCACTCCCAGTGCGGAGTCCGACATAGGGCTTGAACTCATGACCCTGAGATCAAGACCTGAGCGGAGATCAAATCAGATGCTTAACTGACTGAGCAACCCAGGTGCCTTACCTCTGAGAGTCCTTCCTTCCTTTCCCTCCTTTCCTTCCTTCCTTCCTTCCACATTTATTCATTTTTGAAAGACAGAGACAGAGTGTGAGTGGGGGATGGGCAGAGAGAGAGCGAGATACAGAACCTGAAGCAGGCTCCAAGCTCCGAGCTGTCAGCACAGAGCCCAGAGCGGGGCTCCAACTCACAGACCACGAGACCATGGCTCTAGCTGAAGGTGGATGCCTAACCGAATGAGCCACACAGGTGGCCCTTTTTTTTTTTAATGTTTATTTATTTTTGAGAGAGAGAGAGAAAGAGAGAGAGCGCACATGAGTGGGTGAGGGGCAGACAGCAAGGGAGACAGAGGATTCAAACCAGGCTCCATGATGACAGCACAGAGCCCGATGTGGGGCTCAAACTCACAAAATGTGAGATCATGACCCAGACCAAAGTCGGACCCTCAACTGAGGGAGCTACGCAGGGCCCTCACCTCTGAGGACACTTAAGTATCTATTGTGGTTTCTCAGATATAAACAAAATTGGTTACTTCCTACTACAAGTCAATGAACCTTACCTAATTTGTATATTAAATATATTTTTTGATAGATCTTCAAAATGATTTCTGGCCCTTTACCAGTTTATTTTCTCTTACTTAATTGATCCAATTGTTTTGCCTATTGACTTTTGCTAACCCTCTTCCTTTTATTTCATCTTTGAACTTACTTTAAAATTTTCATTCAAATACACGAGGATCATCACACAAACACATTTCACTCTGCCAGAGACCTGTGGGCAGCCATGATGTGTTCTCGAGCTCTACCCCCGCGCTGGAGGTATGGAGACAAAAGCTATTATCATCTCCAAACATCAGTACTACTTGTACTTTTTGTTGTTACAAAACATACCAAATATGGGCAACCGAAACGTGAGAGATTGTAATAAACCTTAGTTTATATGCACTGGAAAACTTGAGAAATTAGGGGCTAAGTTCTGCTCCTCAGTTAAATATGGGTAATAACATCGAGAATGTGGACAGCATAGTAACACTTTAAACTATAAATGCTCCCCTCTGAATGTTTTCAAATTTATTGAAATTCTCCAATCATTTTATAGAACCCCAAGCTGAGAATTATGTTGGATTACTTATGGTTTTTCTGCCAACAAGAACATACAAATTTCCAAAGGGCTTATAATAGAAATGGGCTTTGACCCTGAAATAAACTATTGCCAAACTGCATCTCAACTGTTAATTTGCATTCTTTCTGATCCTTTATGAGAAAAATATTTTCAAAGTTTAACTTTTTTCCAAGAATTTGCTGTATTTCACTTTTTTAAAAAATCTTTTTGTTTTTTAAATTTATTTCTGAGAGAGAAACAGCATGAGCACGGGAGGGTCAGAGAGAGAGGGAGACACAGAATCTGAAACAGGCTCCAGGCTTTGAGCTAGCTATCAGCACAGAGCCCGACGCAGGGCTTGAACCCATGAACCGTGAGATCGTGACGTCAGCCAAAGTCGGGTGCTTAATTGACTGAGCCATCCAGGCGCCCCTGTATTTCGTTTTTTTTTTTTTTTAACATTTATAATTTTGGGAGAGACAGAACACGAGCGGGGGAAGAGCAGACAGAGAGGGAGACCCAGAATTTGAAGCAGGCTTCAGGTTCTAAGCTGTCAGCACAGAGCCTGAAATGGGGCTCGAACCTACAAACTGTGAGATGATAACCTGAGATGAAGTTGGATACTCAACTGACTGAGCCACCCAGGTGCCCCTAATTTCCTGTATTTCAAATATCTTGTCTGCTTTGTTTTTGTTTCTTGAACAACTTAAGTATCTAACTGAATTATTGTCAATATGATACATCTTCTGTTATGTTTTTAATGAAATGTTTGGTTTCAGGGATGTTAAGCATGTATCAAAACATTAAAGTATACCTCTAAACTATGTGCGGTTTATGTGCTGTCAATGATATCTCCATTACACAAACCTTCCAAACTTGTCGCTTCCTAAATCATTTTACTATGTTTTATTATCATCATTGCTCTATAGGTTATCTGCAACTGCTGGATCAGAATGGTGGAAACAGAATGTTCCGTCTCTGGCAACTCTCCCCAAATGTGCTTGCTGACGTCACACTGGTGATCTGAAATTGGCCACACTGGGAGTACTGACCCTAGAGGACTTGAAAGACGCTACAAATCAGGACTTCACTGTATTATTCAAAGTCCAGAGTTAAGAATACGATGGAGAATATGTTAATAATCAGATTAAACTTAAAAAGTGTGTGGGGTGTGTGGTCATTACATTGAAGAGAACACGAAAGCGCCTGAGAAACAAAAACAAGTGAAAGATATGAACAGACATTTTATCAAGAAGATATACAGATGGCAAATAAATATAAGAAAAAATGTGTGACATCATAAATCCTGAGGGAAATGTAATTAAAATTACTGTTTGCTTACTAAGAGGGTAAATTTCAAAGACTGAACCAAAAGACGATACTACATACTGGCAAGGATGTGAAAGAACTGGGACTCTCATGCACTCCTGGTGGGTATGCAAAAGCAAACGATCATCTTAGACCAGCTGTCAGTTTCTTAATAAGTTAAACATTCACTTAACCTATGACTCGGGCATTTTCCTTTGAGTTACTAACACAAGAGAAGTGAAAAATACATATATACATACAAATGTTCCAGCAGCTTTATTTGCAATAGCTAAAACAGGGTACCTAAAAGACCCCTGACAGATGAATGGATAAACAAATGGTATATCCATAGAAAGATACTATGCAGCAATAAAAAGAGTAAAATACTTATATGAGCATCACTGAAGAATCTCAAAATAATTACAAATTGTGAATGAAACCAGAAAAAAACATTTTATGGCTCATAGAAAATTCTAGAAAATACAAACTAATTTATTACAAACGAAGGAAAGTCAGTGGTTGCCTGGACAGGGGAAAGACAGATAATAAAATGACATGAGGAACATTAGGGGTGATGGACATGTTCATTATAATTATGATGAGGTTCTGTGGGCTTATGCATATGTCAAAACTTAAACTGTACACCTCAAATAGGTGCAATACATTGCATGTCAACTATACCTGAATAAAGTTCTACAAAATAGTTATAAAAAAAACACCCCCAGATCTCCCACTTTTTTCATAAAATTAGGGTTGGCAGCCCTATGTTGACTCTATCTCTTGCCTGATGACCTTGGAAAAGCAGACTTGCCTGAGTGGTAGCAAATACTTATGAGCAGTTAAATCTATTCCACCTGAGTCAACAAGAATGCTGGCTCGGTCATAGAGTTACATCAACAGGATAAGGGATCCCTTTTCTCCGTATGCCCATTTTCCTATCTGTGTAGAAATGGCCTTTAGGTGAATGTAACAGAAAGCCTATGGGAATCCAAAAAACCAATAGCTTATTTTCTTTGACAAAGACCTCAACTGCAAAGATGCACGTACCTGGAGGTCCTGAGAATTTCTGTGCACACTAACGCTGCACATTCAGTCATCAGAGCATTCTGATGCAATTTTAGAAGAGGCACGCTCCATCTACTTTGCTTCAGTCCCCTGCAGTGTTACTATGCCAATTATGGTTGCCCTAGGACCCTGTATTCTTACCACGACATTAGCCTAGTGAATTCTGGGTATCAGGGCACATGGCTCCTTTGTAGGACTAGAGTAGAGAATTCCATCAACACTACTGAGCATTATGGGACATCCACCATGAAAAAGAAAAACAATTCATGTTGTTCTCAGAAACACTGGAGGTTGTCAACTTCCTGACTCTTCAGAAGTGTTCTGAGCCCCCCAAAAAATCCTGATACCCAGTCCACAAATTAAGACAAGGCCCTGCAGTCTTTCCTAGGAGACCTTGGGCAAAAACATAAATTAGGCAAAAGCTGGAAAGAGAGCTATGTTCTTTCATCAAACTGTCATCTCTGAGGCACACAAAGTACTGGGAACCCCATGAAAGCGGTTCACTCCTTAATGTTGGCAGAGCCCAGGTGTTTTCAAGTCACTTCACGCAGTGCATAGGACCCCAAGGTCAAAGGTGGCTTATGCAATAATCCAAAGCAATATGAGGCAGGGAATTCCCAGGTTGGTGACTTGGAGGATAGGAAAATCCAAGATGAAAGTCACACAAAACTAACACATCCTTGAAAATGTAGTCCTTCTTGGCAAGTTACCAGAAGAACTCAGATTGGGTCCACTGGGCCAATATTGGGTCAGGGCCATGCCCTAACTTCTACAAGAGAAGAGAATGATGGCCCTATAAGGGCTAAGATTAATCATGATTTCTTCCAGCGAAGGGGGGAGCTTCCCTGAGGACAGTGTGGTGGTAACTGATGCATACTGTGTGAACCTGCTGGGTGGCAGAGACGACAAAACTCTTCCACAGAAACTGGCAGTGACATACATCTGGCAAGAGCCCTGGACAGGCTAGAAAGTGTAACACAGCTCCTTATAGATTCCCACATACTTGGATCTCCCCACTATGAATTTTTAGACATATGGGCTTAAATTTGCTAGATGGCTTCTTCACAACTTCTCTCCTCCAGTGTAATTATTTAAATGGAAGCCACATGTCCCTGTACATCTAAGGTCTTTCTCTACTATGAAATCTCTGGTGTTGAATGAGGTCAGATTTGGAGCTAAAGGATTTCCCACATTCTCTGCACTCAGTAGCCCTCTTGCCAGTGTGAACTCTCCGATGCTGAATGAGGCTGGAGCTTTGGCTAAAGGATTTTCCACATTCCCCACACTCATAAGGCCTTTCTCCAGTGTGAACTCTCAGGTGTTTGACAAGGTTAGATTTACAGCTAAAGGACTTTCCACATTCACTGCACTCAATAGGTCTTTCACCGGTGTGAACTCTCCAGTGGTTCTTGAGGTTGGAGCTATGGCTAAAGGATTTTCCACATTCCCCACACTCATAAGGCCTTTCTCCTGTGTGGACTTTCCGATGTGAACTGAAGCTGGAACTTTGCTTAAAAGATTTCCCACATTTAGTGCATTCATAAGGCCTTTCTCCAGTGTGAAGTCTTCTGTGGTGAATGAGGCTGGAGCTTCGGCTAAAGGATTTCCCACATTCACCACACTGATGAGGCCTTTCTCCAGTGTGAACTCGCCTGTGGTAAATGAGACTGAAGTTTTGGCTAAAGGACTTCCCACATTCATTGCACTCATAAGGCCTTTCTCCAGTATGAACTCTCTGATGTTGAATGAGGTTGGACCTTTGGCTGAAAGATTTTCCACATTCCCTGCACTCATAAGGCTTCTCTCCAGTGTGAACTTTCCTATGGCTATTGAGGCTGTAACTTTGGCTAAAGGACTTCCCACATTCACTGCACTCATAGGGCCTTTCTCCAGTGTGAACTCTCCGATGTATAATGAAACTGGAGTAGTAGGTAAAGAATTTCCCACATTCACTGCATTCATAAGGTCTTTCCCCAGTGTGGACTTTCTGGTGCTGGATGAGGTTACATCTTCGGGTACAGGCTTTTCCACATTTGCCACACTCATAAAGTCCTTCTCTAGTGAGAACTCTCTGGTCCTGAGCAAGTGTGTCTGTGCAGCTGAAGGCTTTCTTGCATTCTCCACAGTTGTGATGACTTTTTCCACTGTGAAAGACAGCCTCGCACTCATTGTTCAGCTTCTCCCCAGTGTGAGCAACCTGTTGTTGGAGAAATCCCATGCTGGCTAAGAAGTCCTTCCCTGTCTCCTCACAGGTAAGGGGCTTCCCTGACACGTGGACTGTACAGCTCTTTATAAACGAGGCTCTGTCCACATAACTTCTGAAGGGAATCTCTCTAGTGTGCTGCCGCTGGTACTGTTGAAGGTTGGCAGCTAAACAGAATTGTTTCCCACATGTATATGGTTTTTCCCCAGGATAAGTTTCCTGGTGTTCAGCTAAGTGCAGAATGTTTCTCAAGATTGGACCACACAACTCAAAGGGCTGGGCCTTCTGGGGAGATGGATCTGCCTTGAGAGTCCTGATCTGTGACACTCCTACAGAAACGCTCTCTTCAGAAGGTGCATCCTCATCCTCCACTCCATTCCCACAACCTGAAAGCACAGAAGTGGTGATGAAGTACATGTTGACATTATTAGGAAGGAGGAAAGCCCATCACAAATGTACATCTGACATATTAAAGGACCAACACATAGAACTCTTTTCCGGCAAAGGAAGTTGGGGTTAGGTTTTGGAAGCAGCTGCTTTGCTCTATTGGGTCCCCAAGGTTACAGAATTGGAAAGGCCTAACTAGACACAGTGTATAAGGAAAGGGTTAGGCCAGGGGTGAAACACATTATACAACTTGTTCTACTTGTCAGTGGGTTTAAGCCGGATTACATCTGCTGGGGATATGTGATAAAATCTGACTGCAACAAAGTAACTGGTTTTCAAGAATTATTAAAAGATATGTGCATACTTTAGAATACGACTCTGTTGGAAAGCACTATGGAGAGAGGAGTGTGAATAGATAAAACGTCCAGAGAAGTGGGCATTAGAAAGAATGGGCTGGAGAAAGAAAAAAAAAAAAAAAAAAAAAGACATCAGCAGGGGCGCCTAGGTGGCTCAGTCGGTACCCGATGTCTCACATCGGGTTCAGGTCATGATCTCACAGCTTGTGAGTTTGAGCCCCGTGTTGGGCTCTGTGCTGACAGCTCAGAGCCTGGACCTTGTCTCAGATTCTGTGTCTCCCTCTCTCTCTGCCCTTCCCCCAGTTGTGCTCTGTCTCTCTCGCTCTTAAAAATAAACAAAACAGGGGCGCCTGGGTGGCTTAGTCGGTTAAGCGTCTGACTTTCGCTTAGGTCATGATCTCGCGGTTCGTGGGTTCGAGCCCCGCATCGGGCTCTGTGCAGACTGCCAGCTCAGAGCCTGGGGCCTGTTTCAGTCTGTGACTCCCTCTCTCTTCTGACCCTCCCCTGCTCACGCTGTCTCTCTCTCCTAGAAATAAACATTAAAAAAAATAAATAAGCAAAACATGGGGCGCCTGGGTGGCTCAGTTGGTTAAGCATCCGAATTCAGCTCAGGTCATGATCTTACGGTTTGTGGGTTTGAGCCCCGCGTCGGGCTCTGTGCTGACAGCTAGCTCAGAGCCTGGAGCCTGCTTCGGATTCTGTGTCTCCCTCTCTCTCACTGACCCTCCCATGCTCACGCTGTCTCTCTCTCTCAGAAATAAATAAAACATTAAAAAAAAAATAAATGAACAGTTAAAAAAATAAAAAAATAAAAAATAAAACATTTAAAAAATGATGTCAGCAAAGTGTCAAGAATGGAGAAGGGAAGATAGAAGTGAGTTGTGGCCACCAGCAATGGCATCAAAACAAAAGTCAAATGGGGCGCCTGGGTGGCTTAGTCGCTTAAGCGTCCGACTTTCGCTTAGGTCATGATCTCGCGGTTCGTGGGTTCGAGCCCCACGTCGGGCTCTGTGCTGACTGCCAGCTCAGAGCCTGGAGCCTGTTTCAGTCTGTGACTCCCTCTCTCTCTAACCCTCCCCTGCTCACGCTGTCTCTCTCTCTCTCTCCTAGAAATAAATTTTTAAAAAAATTTAAAAAAAAAAAGGTCAAATATGATAGGTTCCTGGTGTCATCTGAACACAGCTCGGACATCACACTCTTCCCCAGCTGTCATTCACCTGGGTCAGGCCCTCTCTGGGCCCATCTAATGGAGACTGGAGCTATGTCCATTCTGGGAAGCACAAAGGACTCCTCCCCTACCCCCGGATGAGTAACTGCAAGAGGCCTGGAGGATCCAAATCCTAAGGGAAAGATAGGATAGGTCAGTGGCCAATGCTGGACTGGATGGAACAAGTCAGCACACAGCTGGTCACGGGAAAAATACTACAAAAAAGCACCTCCAGGCCCAGCTAGAGGGAAGATGGTGGGACAGTAAGCACCAGGAAGCTGTCCTTTTACCTGGACCACAAAGGCACTGACAGAACCAATCTGATATATAATCAATCTGCTATAAATATTTTGCAAGTCTAGAGTCTACTGAAGGCTTATAACACGCTAAGTTGCTTTAATTTTGGTCAATTTCAGCTCTTAGCATTGTATAAATTATCCACTTCCCAACTCCTCCAACTCTGAGCCCCAGAGCAGGAAGTCATACACATGTTCCTCCAGCAGCTTGCTAGGGCCAGGGTGGGCAATAAGGATCCTGTCCTCCAGGTATCACAGACCTGAGTTCTGATTACTGCTTCTAATGATTGGAAGTGCGACAGACAGGTGGGCAGCCATTGTTGCAAAGCCTCTCCGTCACTGGCTAAAGTGATGTTACAGAGGATTTAAAGGACAGACGTCTATGCCCTCAACTCCCCTCCCTTTATCATGTTTCTCTTATTCCCGTTTTGGGAGTCAAAAATTCATGGGTTAGGATGTTCAAAATCAATCACATACATGGGGGAATATAGAAAATCATCATACATGACCAGGAAAGTCACAGTCTTAGAAAAAACAGAGAAGACCTTAAGCTTATACCTCAGACTGATATCCCTACAGACACCCTACAACCATTAAAAACAAGCTCCAAACATCCAGGGGTTTTTCTGGGGTTTTTTTTGTTTTTTATTTATTTTTGAGACAGAGAGAAACAGAGCATGAGTGGGGGAGGGGCAGAGAGCGAGGGAGACACAGAATCCAAAACATGCTCCAGGCTCTGAGCTGTGAGCACGGAGCCTGATGAGGGGCTCAAACCCACTTCCTGCAAGATCATGACCTGAGCCGATGTTGGATGCTCAACCGACTGAGCCACTCAGGAGCCCTCAAACATCCAGTTTTTAACAACAATAATAAATCACAGGACACACAAAGCAACAGGAAAGTTTAGTCCATTCTAAAGGGGAAAAAAAATCAAGAGATACTGTCCTTGAGAAAGACCACATTGTGTACTTATTAGACAAAAACTTTAATTTTTTAAAATGTTTTCATTATTTTTGAGAGAGAGAGAGAGCATGCACAGTGGGGGAAAGACAGAGAAAGATGGAGACTCAGAATCCAAAGCAGGCTCCAGGCTCTGAGCTGTCAGCACAGAGCCCAATGCAGGGTTTGAACTCATGAACCCCAAGATCATGACCTGAGTCAAAGTTGGATGCTTAACCAACTGAGCCACCCAGGTGCCACAATTAGACAGAATTCAAAACAATGGTCTAAAAAATGCTCGAAGAGCTTAAAAAAAAAAAAAAAGGTGGACAAAGTCAAGAAAATGTTACATGACCAAAACAGAAATATTAATAGAGATAGGAAACATAAAGAATAATCAAAAAGAAATTCTGGGGCTGAAAGTATAATAACTGAATGAAAGAAGTCACTAGAGGGATACAAAAGCAGCTCTGAGTAGGCAGAAGAAACAACCAGTGAACTTGAAGATAATGAATCTGAGGAAAAGAAAGAAAAAGCATCGACCAGGAGTGAACAGAACATAAGAACCTGTGGGTTGCCATGAGTAGACCGATACATGCAATGTGTTAGTCCAGAAGAAAAAGAGAGAAATGAAAGGACATAGAGCATATTTGAAGAAATAATGCCTGAAAACTTCCCAAATTTGATGGAAGAGACAAATATTGACATCTAAGAGGCTCAGTGAACTCCAAGCAAGATAAACTCTAAGACTCACACTGGGCTCATTATAATCAGAGTGTCAAAAGCCAAAGGTAAAGAGAGAAGCTTGAAAGCAGCAAGATAGAAGTGATTATCACACACAAGGAATCTCCAGTAAGATGATCAGATTTCTTTTTTTTTTTTAATTTTTTTTCTTTTTTTTTTTTTATTTCTAGGAGATAGAGAGAGACAGCGTGAGCAGGGGAGGGTCAGAGAGAGAGGGAGTCACAGACTGAAACAGGCTCCAGGCTCCGAGCTGGCAGTCAGCACAGAGCCCGACGCGGGGCCCGAACCCACGAACCGCGAGATCATGACCTAAGCGAAAGTCGGACGCTTAACCGACTAAGCCACCCAGGCGCCCCAAGATGATCAGATTTCTTACTAGAATCCACGGAGGGCAGAAGACAGTGGGTTGATATATTCAAGTGTTGAAATAAAAAAAATAGTCAACCCGAATCATATAACCAGCAACACTGTGCTTCAAAAATGAGAGAGTAATTGAGACCTTGCAGATACATAAAAGCCAGGGAGTTCTTTACTACTAGATATGTCCTGCAAGGACACGCAAGCCTAGAAGGACGAGAGGTGGTCCTTCAGATTGAAATGAAAGGACCCTAGACAGTAACTGAAAGCCATTGGCCAAATCAAGATCTCTGTTAAGTTAAATACAAACAATTACAAAAGCTAATTGTATTGTAACTTAACATTTATGAGATTATTCTATAAATAATAATTACAGGTCTAAATTTTTGGACACACAACATATAATTCTGTGTAATTCTGTGACATCAAGAGGTGGGGACAAAGCTGTATAGAAGAAAAAAATTTAAAAATATGACTGAAGCTAAGCTGGCATAAATTCATATTATATGTTATAATTTTAGCACATTAAATATAACCCCATGGGTAACTAAAGAGAGAGAGAGAGAGTTCCAGAAAGTACCAAAAAAAGCCCAAATTAAAACATTTCACTACAAAAAAATCAACTGAACACAAAAGAGAGTAATGCAGGAAATGAGGGACAAAAAAAGATAAGAAATATAAAAAGCATATAACAAAGTGACAGAGGTCCCTCCTCATCAGCAATTCCTATAAATGTAAATAGGTTACACTCTGCAAACAAAAGACAAAATTGGTAGAAAGGATAAGAACATGATCCAACTATATGCTGTTCATAAGACACTCACTTTAGACCCAAAGGCACAAATAAGTTGAAACTGAAAGCTTGGAAAAACACATTCCATGTGAAGAGTTATCCAAAGAGAGCAGGGGTGGCTATACTAATATCAGAAATAGATTTAACATCAAAAAAGGTTATGAGACCAAAAAAGACATTATGTGTTAATGAAAGGTTCAATACACAAGAAAATATAACAAAATATGTAATAATTATAAATTTATAATTTATATATAGTTGGTTCCTATAATTTATATTTTATACTATAATTTATATTTAGTTGGTACCTATGACCAACTAAAGAGCTCTGTTAAATTACAGAGCATCAAAACCTATGAAGCAAAAATTGACAGAATTGAAGAGAGAAACAGAGAGTTCTAACATAGTAGTTGGAGACATTAATGCCCACTCTCAATAATGTAGAATAAACACACAGAAGTAAGGAAATAGAGGACCTGGACAACACAATAAGCCAACTAGATCTAGCAGAATATACAGAATGCTCTACCCAACAGTAATAGAATATACATTTTTCTCAATCGCACATGGGGCATTTTCCAGGATAAACCATATGTTCAGCCACAAATTAGGTGTCACTGGATTTAGAAAGGCAGAACTCATACAAAGGATCTTTCCAACCATAATGGGATAAAGTTAGAAATCAAAAACTGAAGTAAAACTGGAAAATTCACAAACCTATGGAAATTAAATCATTTTTTAAAATTAGTTTTTATTTTTTTTAATGTTTTTTTCTTTATTTCTGAATGAGAGAGAGAGTGTGAGCAGGGGAGGGTCAGAGAGAGAGAGAGACACAGAATCTGAAACATGTGCCAGGCTCTGAGCTAGCTGTCAGCACAGAGACTGACGCAGGGCTCGAACCCACAAACTGTGAGGTCATGACCTGAGCCGAAGTCAGACGCTTAACCGACTGAGCCACCCAGGCGCCCCAAATTAAATCATTTTTAAACAACCAATGGGGCAAAGAAGGGTCACAAGAGAAATCAGAAAATACTTAGAAACAAATGAAAATGAAAACACAGTATTAGCAAAACTTATGTGAAGCAGCAAAAGCAGCACTAAGGGGGAAATTTATATCTATAAACACTTACATTAAAAAAGAAGAAAGGGGCACCTGGGTGGCTTAGTTGGTTAAGCGTCTGACTTCCGCTCCAGTTATGATCTCACAGTTCATGGGTTTGAGCCCCACAATCAGGCTCTGTGTTGACAGCTCAGAGCTTAGAACCTGCTTCAGATTCTGTGTCTCCCTCTCTCCTTGCCTCTCTCTGCCCCTCCCCAACTAGCGCATGCGTGCTCTCTCAAAAATAAAAAAATACACTTAAAAAAATTTTTTTAAACTTCAAATCAACAGACTAACTTTACAACTTAAAGATCTACAAAAAGAGAAAAGAAACTCAAAGGTAGTAGAAAAAAAAGAAATAAAGATTAGAGGTGAGATAGAGATATGAAACACACTAAAGAAAAAAATCAATAAAACTGAAAGCTGGTTCTTTCAAAATGCTATCAAAATTGACAAACTTTTGGGGTGCCTGGCTGGCTCAGGTGGAGCACGTGACGCTTGATGTCAGGGTTGTGAGTTCGAGCTCCACTCTGGGTTAAGAGATTACTTAAAAATAAAATCTTAGGGGAGCTAACCAATCTCAGTTGGTTAAGCATCCCACTCTTGATTTTGGCTTATGAACCTGATCTCATGGTTTGTGAGATTGAGCCCCACAATGGGCTCTGTGCTGACAGCTCAAAACCTGCTTGGGATTCTTTCTCTCCCTCTCTCTACGACCCCCCTCCCACTCTCTCTCTCTCAAAGTAAATAAACTTTAAAAAAATAACTAAATAAATAAAATCTTTAAAATTGACAATCTCTAACCTAGAATAGCAAAAAAAAAAAAAAAAGGAAGACCTAAAATAGTAAAATAAAAACTTATAGTGGCGGGGGGGGGGCACTTGGGTGGCTCAGTTGCTTAAGCATCCAACTTCGGCTCAGGTCATGATCTCACAGTTCGTGCGTTCGAGCCCTGTGTCGGGCTCTGTGCTGACAGCTAGCTCAGAGCCTAGAGCCTATCTTTGGATTCTGTGTCTCCCACTCTCTCTGACCCTCCCCTGCTCATGCTGTCTCTATCTCTCTCTCAAAAATAAATAAAACATTAAAAAAAAAAAAACTTCTAGGGGGAAATTATTACCAATTTGACAGAAATAAAATAGATTATAAAAGAGTACTAGAAAAGAGACTGAATCACTAAGCAAAAACCTCCTGACAAAGAAAAACCCTGGACTTGATGGCTTCACTGGTGAGTTCTACCAACCACTTAATGAAGAAATAACACCTATCTTTATCAAAAACAGACAAAGCCACTAGAAGGAAACTACAGACCAACATAGTTGATTCATCGATGCAAAAAAATCAAAAACAAAATACTAGCAAACTGAAATCAGCAGCATAGTAAAGGATTATACACCACAACCTACTGGGATTTATTTCTAGAATGCAAGGATGGTTCAACATACAAAAATTAATTATTATAATACATATTACAGAATGAGGAAAAAATTATATGTTCATCTCAACTGATGCACAAAAAGCATCTATCAAAATTTTAATACCCTTTCATGATCCAAACAGTCAACAAATTCAGAACAGAAAAAAACTATCTGAACATAGTGGAAGCAAAAGATTAAAACCCATGGCTAATATACTAAATGGTGAAGGACTGAATGCTTTTCCTCCAAGATCAGGAAGAAGAAAAGGATACCAACAATCATTACTATTATTCAAAATGGTACTAGAAATTCTAGATTGGTGGGGGGGGGGGGGAGGAAAGTCATCCAAGGGGAAAGGAAAAGGTAAAATTATCTTTGTTTATGAATACATTATACATAAAAAACTAGGCCTAAAGATTTAAAAAATGTTCAGAATTAATGAGTTCAGCAAAATATTAGGATACATATGGAACATGAAAGAAAAGTTGTATTTCTATATGCTAACAATTAACAATATAATAAGAAAACAATTCCACTTATAATAGTATCAAAAGAATAACATACTTAGAAATTAACTTAACCAAGGAAGTGAAAATTTTGAACAGAAGAAACTACAAAACACTGGTAAAAAAACTAAAGAAAATGTTAATAAATGGGAAGACATCCATATTTACAGATTAAAGATTTAATAGTGTTAAGATGTCAAATACTGCTCAAAACCATCTATAGATTCAATGCAATCCCTATAAAAATTCCAATTTTTTTGTGGTAGTAGGAAAATTCACATGGAGGGGTGCTGAGTGGCTCAGTTAAGTTTCTGACTCTTGGTTTCAGCTCAGGCCACGATCTCACGGTTTGTGAGTTTGAGCCCCACATCAGGTTCTGTGCTGACAGCCCAGAGCTTTCTTGGGATTCTCTCCTTCTCTCTCTGCCTCCCCACTCACACTCTAGCTCTCTGTCTCAAATAAATAAAAACTTAAATAAGCAACAACAAAAAAATAAACAAAAAAGAATGAAACTCAAGGACACCAAACAGCCAGAACAATCTTGAAAAAGGCTAACGGTGACAGAGTCATCCTTCTTCATTAAAATTTTACTGCAAAGCTACAGTAGTCAAAACTGTGTGATACTGACATAAAGACAAAAATGGTCCAGTGGGATTGAATAAACACTCCAGAAATAAACTCCTGCACAGATGGTCAACTGATTTCCACATTCCAGACCGTTCAATGGTGACGATCCATTAGGCTAACATCAAGACTACTGATGCTGAATCCTTCCCTGTGAGGTTTGAGGCAGCAGGTACTGGGGCAATAAAGGAAGAGGAGTGGGCATGCACTCGCCCCGCCCCGGCAACCACGGCAGCCACCCAGGGAACTGGGAAGGCAGCAGTGCCCATCATTCAATAGGCGAGACCACGCTGCCCCTGCGGAAAGGAGAAAGGCACAGCCTCGCCCAGGGCACAGCGGTGGGTGTGAGGGCCTTACCTAGTGAGGACGTGAGCGCAAAGTTCTCCAGCATCACATCGTGGTACAGGCACCTCTGAGCCTCATCTAGGAGATCCCATTCCTCCCAGGAGAAGTACAGGGCCACGTCCTCAAAGGTCACACTTCCCTGCCAGGATAGAGACGGATGAAACCACAAACAGCCTCACCCCCAGAGACCCATAATCCACATCCCCACACTGTCTACCCCATGTCCATCCTCCTCCCAAGATGCCCAAATGAGAGGAGACACCAGACTCTGGGGTCCTTGGTGCAGAGTCGCAGGACACCACAAATCTGGACGAAATGTGGGGCAGCACCAGTGAGGGCCTGGTCCACCTCCACTTACCTGTGTAGGTTCCCAAAGCACTGCTGCAACCATGGAAACCTGCGGGAAGAGGCGGGCCTTTGAGGGGCTGAGGGACGGAACCGTGGCCATTCTCCAGGGGGCTCAGGCCTTCCCTGTGTCCCTGCCGGGCACCAGAGCCAGGGAACCTCGGGCTGACTGGTCAGCCTCTGTGCTGGCTCTCAGCGGCTGAGTGTCCTTGGAAGAAGACTCAATCTCCCTCTGCCTCAGTGTCCTCCTCGCCCTCTACAATCTGTTCTACTGGACAGAGTCCGGAGAATATCTCAAACCCACGTCTCGCTTTTCCTCGGAATTCTCCGTTGCTCTCAGGGCCCTAGGAAGGGAGACAGAACCCCACAGCCTGCCGCTGCGGTTGCGGCTCAACCCAAACGTCTCCTGCGGAAGCAGGATGGACCCCGGGTTTCCAGAGTGTTTCAGTTCACACCCCCCTCCAGCCGCTGCACCTGCCGGCCCCTCCCCTGCAGCCCGCGGCCGCACCCCTTCACGCCGGCGCTCAGACACGGGGGCCCCGCCCACAAACGCCTCCCCAGCGCGGACACCCGGACCTGGGCCTGCCCCGCGCTCGGGCCTGAAGGGTCTGGGCGGAGAGGGCCCCGGGACCGCGCGTTTACCTCAGCCGGGTCCCGGGGCGCGACCGCCGCCATCGGACTCCGCGGGCGGAGTGAAGGGATGACAGCTGAGCGACCGGAGGGTCGCGGGATCTGAAGTGTCCACGCCGGCCTCTCAGGCAGCGGAGTCCCCGACCCCAGACCCGCCTCCGTAGAGCGGGGACAAAGCCTCCTCTTTTGCCTTCTGTGTCCGTCGCCTGAGTCCCAACCCGGTGTTCCGCACCTTCAGACCGAAGCCAAAGACTCCAGAACTGCTAAAATGACCGCCACGGAAACGGCGGAAGCCCCGCCTCAAGGCCATTCGCCCTTCCGGAAATGTCCCTTTTCGGGGTTTTCATTGGATTGTTGCCCCTGCCGTTCAGCGCAAAGTTTTCGGGGTAATGTAGTTCCAACGGCAGGAGTTGCCGACCATGGGAAAGTCTCACAGAAAGGGTAAAGCAGCATCACAAACGGTCGGAGAAATGGCTCCCCCCGCCCCCCAATACTTCTAAGATTGAAGGGAGACATCACTTCTTCTTAACAATGGCAGGCCAATTCCTGGGGATTGTTAACTGCACTTTTAGGTCAGGGCTACTGATCCCTGAAGTGTTTCCACATTATTTCAGACTCTATGAAGCCAACTCTAGTGATCATCCGCTGATAGCTGGAAGCGAATAAACATGATCTTATTGCTCTTAACGTGCATGCAGCCTGACGTGTGAAAGTCATTTTTGTGAACTTTAGTAGGTTGAGTCAGGGCCAACAAACAAAACACCACAGGGCCAGGACAGAGAAAATAGGGGAAGGGTATTGGGCAGCTCTGAGGCTGGTGATCCTAGTGGGTTCTGGGCCTCTGGTTCTTTCTTCCTGTCAGTGCTTGTGCCCAACTCAATGAGAAACACTATTTTATCTACAAAACATATAACTTTTATACATGCACATTCTTTTCCCTAATACACATTTACATTATTAATGCATAAAATAAAAAATTAACTATTGTTTATTAAGGAGTACTATTCTATGTACATTTATAAAATAAGAGTGAAAAGTCTGATAATTCTACCTCCTGGAGAAGCAATATTTGCAGGATGGTATCCTTTTAGAATTCTGTCTGCAGGATAATCAGCTAATTAAATATATATATAAAGTATATTGATCCACTTGCAGAACTCAGAAGAGTTATAGCTGTTTAACTGGATAAGGAAAAAAAAATTTTTTAGTGCAGAAGTCAAAGAACAGAGAGACACAGGTGTCATTACTGATGAGCACAAGGGGGTTGAATGCTGGGAAACATAAAGCCATCAGCACAAAGGTGTCCACCTGCCACTGCTTTGGACTCAGAGAGTCAAAATGGAAGAAAGACAAAAAAGCCACTCAGAAGGCAGGTTCTGCTGAAAGAAATCCCCCTGGACACTCTGTAAATAGAACAAAGGTTTACAGCCAGCATCATCCAGGAAATATTTCAGTCCAAAAGCTGCCATTTCCTACAGGATCCCTTTGGAGAAAATAACTAGGCAGTTAGCTAGGAGAAGTTGGTTGAGGATTTGGTCTGTGGGTCTAAGATTTCGTCCAGTGATCAAAGTGAAGATATAGAAACAAAGAAGTGAGGAGTTTCCCAGGATCCCAGCTTTCATCTGAGTGAGGAAAATAATCACCCAAAGTTAGTAGAAACCATCACATCAAAACCTAAGGGATAATTTTTAATTGGAGTCAGATGAACCTAGAAAACAGGAAAATATGCTAACTCTTATTCCCAGAATTTTTCAGTGTTAAATCTGACACATTTTCCCACATTAAAAACATACTGAGATCATGAGGCTACCTCACACATAGTAGGATGGCTAATATAATATTTTTAAAGTTTATTTATTTTGAGAGAGAGAGAACCAGCAGGGAGTGGCAGACAGGGAAAGAGAGGATCCCAAGTAGCACAGAGCCCAATGCTGGACTAAAGTCAACAAAATGTGAGATCATGACCTGAGCCGAAATCAAGAGTCAGACACTTAACTGCCTGAGCCATTCAGGCACCCCAACTAATACAATATTTTTGTATTAAACAACAACAAGAGTTGGCAAAGATGTGAAGAAATTGGAACTCTCGTGCGCTGTTGGAATGTGAAATGGGGCTGCTGCTGTGGAATCCAGTATGATGATTCCTCAAAAAGTGAAAAATAGAACTACCATATGATCTAGTAATCCCACTTCAAGGCATATATTCTGAAGAAAGGAAAGCAGGATCTCAAAGAGAAGTCTTCACACCCATGTTCGTAGTGGCAGTATTCACAAAGGGAAGCAAAGCGAGCATTCACTGACAGATGACTAGACAGACAAAATGTACACACACGGAAGGGAATGTTATTGTCTTACAAAAGTAGGAAATTGTGACACATGCTACAGATAGATGAACTTTTAGTATACTATGCGAAGTAAAACAAACCAGTGACAAGAAGACTAAGTGTGATTCCATAGGTCTATACGAGGTACACATAGACACAGAGCAGAATAGTGGTTGCCAGAGGCCGCAGGGAAGAGGGAATTAGAGGAATTGTATTCCAGGTTAGTTTCAGTTTTGCAAGATGAAAAGAGTGGATGGATTTGCTGATGATTGTACAACGATATAAATGTATTTAACACCACTAAACTGTACACTTAAAGTGGTTAAAATCATAAATTTTATGTTATGTGTTTTTAATCACAATTAAAATAAAACCCTGAATTATTTCACTTAACACGATATCCTCTACATCCATCCATGTTGTCCCAAGTGGCAAGATCTTGTTCTGTTTTCTGACTGGTTAATATTCCCTTATATGTGCATATTCCAAATCTTCTTTATCCATTCATCTATCGATGGACCCTTGGGTTGCTTCCAAATCTTGGCTATTGTAAATAATGCTGTAATAAACTTTGGGGTGCATATATCTTTTCAAACTAGTGTTTTAATTTTCTTTGGATAAATATTCAGTAATGAAATTTTTGGATCATATGGTATTCTATTTTTGAGGAACTTCCATGCTGTTTTCCACATTGGCTGCACCAGTTTGCATTCCCACCAAAAGTGTAGGAGGGCTCCTTTTTCTCTACACTCACACTAACACTTTTATCTTGTCTTTTTTTGATACTAGCCATTCTGACAGGTGTGAGGTGATAACTCGTTGTGGTTTTATTTGCATTTCCCTGATGATTACTGCTGTGGAATATCTTTTCATTTGTCTCTTGGTCATGTGTAGGTCTTTGGGAAAATGTCTATTGAGGTCTTCTGCCCATTTTTTAATCAGGTGGGTTTTTTGTTGCTGTGGGGTGTGTGTGTGTGTGTGTGTGTGTTTGGTTTTTTTTTGGTATTGAGTTGTGGAAGTTCTTTATATAGTTTGGATATTAACCCCTTATTGGATTTGCAGATATCTTTTACCATTCAGTATATTGCTTTTTTGTTTATGGTTTCCTTCACTTTTTATTTTGCAAAAATATTTGCAAAAAAAAGTGCAAAAGCTTTTTTTTTTGGCACAGCCCCAACAATTTATTTCTACTTTTGTTTCCCTTGCCTTAGGAGACATACCTAGAAAAATGTTGCTATAGCCAATGTCAAGAAAATTGCTGCCTATGTTTTCTTCTAGGATTTTTATGGTTTCAAGTCTCAAATTTAGGTCTTTAATTTATTTTGAGTTTACTTTTGTGTATGGTGTGGAAACATGGTCCAGTTTCATTCCTTTGCATGTATATGTCCAGTTTTCCCAGCATTACTTATTGAAGAGATGGTTCATTGTATATTCTTGCCTCCTTTTTCATAGATTGACTATGTAAGTGTGGGTTTGCTTCTGGAATCACTATTCTTTTCCACTGGTCTACGTGTTTATTTTTATGCCAGTTTTGATTACTACAGCTTTATACTACACCTTAAAATCTGGGATTGTGATACCTCCAGCTTTGTTCTTTCTCAAGATTGCTTTGGCTATTTGTGGTCTCTTGTGATTCCATACAAATTTTAGTATTATTTGTTCTAGTTTTGTGAGAAACGCTGGTGGTATTTTGATGGGTTTCCAGTTATGAAATGAGTAAGTCATGCAGGATGAAAGACATAGCATAGGGAATATAGTCAGTAATATTGTAATAGTGTTGTATGGTAACAGATGGTAGCTACCCCTGTATAATGATAATGTATAGAGGATAATGAGCACAGGATAATGTATGGGAAGTTGAATCACTACAATATACACCTGAAACTAATGTAACATTGTGTGTCTGCTACACTCAAAAAAAAAAAATTTTTTTTAAATAAAAATAGGATGGAATATAGTTCACATCCCAGCTTTGTCAATAACTCTTTTTCCCCATGAGCATGATGATAAAAAATTTACAGATGGTATTTTTCTAAAGCCAGCTGTCTCTGAAATTCCAAAATTTGACATGCCCTCACAATGGCTGTCCAAGACTATTGTGACATGGGTAATGTTCATTATCATTCATTCTGTGAAAGTTATATTTAGTTGATAGTCAGAAGCCCAAGCACGGACCAAATAAGCAGCTTGATATAGGGGAAATGGAAACAATTTTAAAATCAGAAAATGTGAGTTAAAGTACTGGTAATGTACAAATATGATTGTTTTTGACAAGCCACAGATCCCCTCTGAGCCGTATTTCTCTATTTTCACAAATTAAACAATGATACCTAATTCAAAGAGACATGAGAATAAAATGAAAAAGTACTTTTCAAGCTGTAATGTCAACTTTGAAAAAGATGTGATGTATTATAACATGATAGATACTGTGCAAAGGAAGCCTAGTTCCTGCAACAGATAATTGTTACTATATTTTGTTCACGCTGTTGTTTGGTAGCCAAAGAAAACATTAATTTTTTTGTCCATGCTACAGCTGATGTTGTTCTACAAAATATGAAGAAAAAGTATAATAAAATCTCACCTTTTCAAATAAATAAAGGGAATTCAAAACATTCCCCCCACTCAACCCCCCCCCCCACCTTGAGAATATGTCTTAAAGAAAGCAAACTCTCTTTATTGAAGCATTTTATGTAAAAGTACAGCTCTGGAAACAATGTAAACATCTATGAATAGGGGCGCCAGTAGACACACTCTGCCATATGTAACAAATGAATGTGGACATTCTCTACAGATGCTATGGAGTTCTCCTCAGAATGTATTTTAATTGCGGTATAAATCAGAGGACAGAATACACATTTTCTTAAAAACATGGAGGATATTTTTTGAAACATTTGAAGAACCAAAACCATC